GTCTGGGAGACATCCAGTTTCTCCCACCCCACCCCAGCCTGACCCAGATGACCAACAGTCACAGTAGCTCACCCCTCTCAGATGGGGTTGGGGTCTCCTAGACTGGAGGAAAAGACGAAGCAGATAACCCCAAGGAACTCAAAATTAATGACATGGAGTTCTGGGGTGGCAGAAGCAGGATGAACTGTGGTGAAGAGAGGCCTGAGGCCAGCCCACCAGGTGGCGAGGAGGTAGCCCCCCTCCCTGAGCCACAGTTTCTGAGTCACATGACAGTGCCCACCACAGCAGATTCCTACAAGCCTACAGGGTCCCAGAGTTGCTGGGAGGGGCTGCAGTACCTGACCGTTACTCATCACCCTTATCTCTTCTCACCCCAAGAAACACAAACCAAGCTGCCAGAACACACTACCATAAACACCATGGCTTAAAACAACAGAACTATATCCTCACTGGAGGCTAGAAATCCAAAATCACCATGGTAGGCAAAGCCATGCTCCCCTGGAAGCTTGTTTCTCTTACAGTTGGTGGTTCCCAGAGTTCCTTGGTGGACAGCCCAATCCCTCCAATCTCTGCTCTGTCTTCACATGGCCTCCTCCTCAGTGTCTGTGGCTCTCCTCTTCTGCCTCTTACAAGGACACTGGTCATTAGATTGACAGTCCACTGAGGTAAATCAGGATGATCTCATCCCAACAGCCTTCACTAATGACGTCTGTTATTCTTAGGTGCCATTGCGTCAGTTCTGACTCATCGCGACCCCAAGTACAAAAGAATGAAACCCTTCCATCCTGCCCCCTCCACTTCTATCCTACACCAGCCTCACAATCATGGCTGTTTGAGGCCATTGTTGTAACCACATTGTTGAAGGTCTTCCTCTTTTTTGGTGACACTCTATTTCCCCAAACAAGCATGGTGTTCTTTTCCAGGGACTGGTTTCTCCTGATAACTTCTTAGAAGCTTTCTGACTGTACTTTTCCCAACAGAATTGTTTGTTCTTCTGGTAATCCATGGTCCTTCCATTATTCTTCGCCAACACCGTAATTCAAATGCATCAACTGCTCTCTGGTCTTCCTAGCTCATTGTCCGATTTTCACATGCATATGAAAGAGATTGAAAACACCTTAATCTTCAGAGTGACATTTTTGCCCTTTAACATTTAAGTGAGGTCTTGTGCAGCAGATTTGCCCAATGAAGTATGTCATTTGATTTCTTGACTGCTGCTTCCATGAGCACTGATTGAGAATCTAAGTAAAATGAAATCCTTGACAATTTCAATCTTTTTTTTTTTTTGCTTATCAAGATGTTGTGTATTAGTTCCGTGGTAAGGATTTTTGTTTTCTTCACATTATGGTGCAATCCATACTGAAGGCCGTGGTCTTTGATCTTCATCAGCAAGCATTTTAAGTCCTCTTCGTTTCCAGCAAACAAAGTTGTATCATCCATATATCGCGGGTTGTGAATGTGACTTCCGCCAATGCTGATGCCACGTTCTTCTCCATAGAGTCGATCTTCTGGGATTACTTGCTCAGTGTACAGACTCAATACATACATGACAGGATTCAACCCTGATGTTCTCTTTCTTGGTTTCGAACCTTTCAGCATCCTCTTGTTCTGTTCTGATGACTGCCTCTTGCTGTAGATACAGGTTCCTTATGAAAATAATAAAATGTTCTGGAATTCTCATTCTTTGCAATGTTACTCACAGTTTGTTAAGATCCACACAGTCCAACGCTTCTGCATAAATCAATAAAACACAGGTAAACATCTTTCTGGTCTTCTCTGCTTTCAGCCAAGAACCATCTGACGTCAGCAATGAGATTCCTCGTTTCACGTCTTCTTCTGAATCGTGTTTAAATTTCTGGCAGCTCCCTGTCTATGTGCTGTTGCAACCATTTTTGAATTCTCTTCAGCAGAATTTTACTTGTCTCTGATAGTAATGATATTGGATGATAATTTCTGCATTCTGTCAGGTCACCTCTCTTTGGAATGGGCACAAATATGGATGTGTTCCAGTCACTTGGCTAGGTAGCTGTCTTCCTCATTTCTTGGCGTAGATGATGATCAGTTTGTTGAGCCGTTCCCATTTGTAGTCCGTCAATTCCCGGCACCCAGTATGTTGCTAACACTTTCGGGGCGGCTTGAACTCCTTGCTTCACTACCATTGATTGGCTCTTGATCATATGCTACTTCCTTCCTGAAATGGCTGAATGTCAAGAAATTCTTTGGGTACAGTGACTGTGAGTATTCCTTCCATCTTCCTTTGATGTTCCCTGCATTGTTCATTATTTTGCCCATAAATGACATCAGAAGGGACACTTATTCCAGATAAGGTCACAGGTTCTGGGGGTTGAGAACCTGGACATGTTGGAGGACCCAGTGCTGCTCACTAGCACCAAATGCCGGGCTAGACACGCTGCATGGCACACTTCAGACTCATAGCAACCTTGCAAGGTGAGGGAACTCCCCAGTCTACCAAAGAAGACACAGAGGCTCTGAGGGCACCCCTGCCTAACACCACGTGGATGGCAGAGGCATCCTTCACAGACAAAAATGACCGCCAGGGTTCATGGTGCCGTGGTCTCATCTTTCGGATCTGACCACACACAACTCAGCCTTCACCATCTCCTCCCTCTCCGCCATGTGAGCTATGTCTGCCCTCAACCCCTTACAGGGACCCATATTCTGCACACCCCCCCATACCAAGCCAACGACTTGCCAGGGACCACCACTTCCAAGCCCCCCACCGGCACCAGGGTGGAACTTGTAGATGAAGCCTCTCCATTCATCAGCCTCTGGGAAGCATAATTGAAGCTTTTATGGGACATCAGCTCATTATGCAAAGAGCAGGGGTTGTGAAAATGATCATTTTTTAAAAGGAGCGTGTGGGTTTCTATCCAGCCAGGAAAGAAATGAGGGAGAGACGTCTCAGGGAGATGGGCTGGCTTTGCAGGTTTTCAAAATGGGAAGGAGAGGATTGGGCTAAACTAAAATCTTCTGCTAATTAATAGTGCAACAAGACGCTGTCGAACAAAGAGTTTAGTCCTGCTGGCAGCTCCCAGAATGTGTCTTTATGCCCAGAGACAACATACTTTTTTTAAATTAAACATTTTTAGAAGGTCCCTGTCACAGACATTACAATAACTGCTTTATAAAACAGCCCATATAACTGGGGGTCTCACAGGTATTCGGAATGTTCTAGAATGCACACTAGGTAGTAAATACAAGTGGCTTGTTCTGTTGTTCTGCCCCTGACGGTGTTGTGTAGGTTTAATATTTAATTTATGAAAGAATTACAATCGCTTAACCTATGTCTATTGGGAAGGTTACTGAAATTTATTATAAATATTTTCAACTGCCTAGTCTATGTCTGGAATCTGTTAACGCGCTGGACTACAAAGTCAGTTTGATCCACAAGGCCGGTGGTTCAAACGCACCAGCAGCTCCTTTGAAACCCCATACAGCAACAACAGTCTGTGTCTAGGAACCCCGGTGGCACAGTGGGTTAAGTGTTGGGCTGCAAACCCTAAGGTCAGCAGTCTGGACCCACCAGCTACTCGGTGGGAAACAGACAGGGCAGTCTGCCTCCGTCAAGACTGACAGCCTAGGAAACACAACAGGTAATTCTGTCCTACAGGGTCACTGTGAGTCGGGACCAACTTGACAACATTGGAGTGTTGCGGGTTTTTTTTAGTTTATGTCTAAGATTAAAAACAAAACACAAAATAAAACCTAAAAAAATCTCCCGAAAGACCAACAGCAAAAGAGGTCTTGGTGGGCTCACTAATATCTCTGTGAACTGGTGTGGAGCTCCCCCTCCCCACAAGGAGAGGTCCAAAGGTACTTGTGAGCCCCTCCCTGGGCCTCTTTTTTGGGGTGCACCATTCACCAGGTCCCAGAAATGGTAACTGGTATGCTGGGGTGAACGGCGTCCACCTTTAAAAAACGCCAGATTCATTCATCTCCTAATCCCTAGAACCTGAGAGTGTGCTGCACTTGAAAAAAGGATCTTTGCAGGTACAGTTCAGGATCTCCAGGTGAGAACACTCTGGATTATGTGGAGAGAGGAGGGGAGGGGGAGGGAGAGGGTGACAGGGGAGGGGAGGGAAGAAGACAGAGCACAAGGCATCACACACATGAAAACGGAGCAGAGATTGGAGGAATTGTTTGCTGACGATCATTCGGTGTGTAGACTGTGAAGGAGCGTGTTTCTGTCGTTTCAGGCTGCTGGACATGTGCCACTTAGTTACAGCGGCCCCAGGAAACCCGCGTCGGGGCACGCAGCCCTCGCCAAGGTATCGGCTGCCTCCGGGCCATGGGCAGCATCAGGATGGAACCCTTCAGGATCAGCCCCAGTGTAATATCACTGTGCCCAGGTATGAGCCCTGTCCACTCTGCCACCCCAAGTCCATCCGTGCCCACCTGGAACATCTATCTCCAGGTCTTATCCTCGTCCCCCACCCCACTTCAAGTCCATTTAGATGTCTGCTCTGAGTCCGAATCCACCCTGGATTCCTTCAGAGTGCCCCCTCCTCCCTCTGCAGGTGCCATCTATGTGGCAGATGAGCCCGGCCATCAAACACCAGTCTCCAGGACCATCCCTGCAGTAGCCAGGCCCAGCCATCAGGGTCCATACCAGCATCTCAGACAAAACTTTGTCATCCAAACAGAATTCCCAACCAAGCGGTGAGTCTTCTTGGGGGTTCTCCATCACAGCTCCTCCCAGGCAGCCCCCACCACTGCATACATGACCAGCTCCCTCCTGCTTGCCCCACACTCCATGCTGACGTGTGAAAAGTGTGTTTACGTGTGGAAAGTGTTTACATAGGCAGTGATCTGTGGGTGGGGTCACCTGCTAATCTTATTACCTAAGTCAAAAGCCACTTTGCAGCCATCAGTAGCATGCCTGCCAGACTGCCCTGAAGGTTCATCCTCCTCCCACCCCAACAAGCCCGAGGACCGCTGCCCTCAGGCAGTCTGTCCGGCTCCGGCAGAGGGACGCTCACCTGATACCTTTGTTCTGTGCAATGCTGTGCAAGGAGAGCCGGGACACAGTAGAGATGACCTGCAGAGACAAAGGAAAGCAGAATAGTCAGTAATTTCTCTTCTCTTCTGAGGACACCTGGACAATCCAAGTGAGTGTTTGCAGAGACGGGGCTGCGAGGTACACACGTCTCATCTGGGGCAGGGGGTGCGCAGGAAAGCATGTTGTGGGCTTGTTGTCATCAAGCTGAGTCCAACTCAGAGCAACCCTGTATAGGGTTTCCAAGGCTTTAAATCTTCTAAGGAGCAGAGTCCACGGCACACAACAGCAGCAAGGTGCAGAGAGCCTCATCTTTCTCCCGTGGAGTGGCTGGTAGGCTTATACTGTGGACTTTATGGCTCAAGTCCACTGCTTATCACACGGAGCCACCTATTTTGTCCCTGATGAGCACAGTGTCATTTTGAGGCACTGGTATTTGCTGTGTTCCCAGCACTGTGCCCGGGGAGACCCGCTTGCCATGTCCCATTCTCACACCGAGAAAGGAGCTCCGCCACGGGGACCATGTGATAAAGTCCATGATGCCGTGTCACTACAGGGTTAATGACAAGCCATGATCATGTCAGAGACAGGAAAACAGGGCACACAGGAGCTGGGGGCCCCTCCTGTCTGTGTGACCATGTAACAATGCCCTCATCTTTCAAGGGGCCCGGAGACAGAGGGGAGTGGAACATCAGTACAGAGCTGCACCTGGAAGGCCTCCACATAGTCCTCCAGACGGACAGGTGTGTCTGAATGGAAGTCAGGGGCACCCGGCCAATAGATACGCAGCGGGCCCTCTCCTGCTGCTTCCTTCCACACACACAGGGCTCACAATGCCTGACGGAGAGTTCCATCCATCTTCGAACAGTCTGCGAGACACTCCGGAGATGATGCTGGGCAGGCCAAGGCAGGGAGAGAGAGGTGGTTGACCAGAAGCACAGAGTACAACACACACAACAGGATGTGAGGGCACCTGCTGTGGCAGGCATCATGTGTGAGGTGACAGGCACAAGAGGTCAGTGTGTGCATGGCTGCGCACATGTGTTCACATGTGAGCACACATACATGTACCTGTGCAACTCTGTGGGTGCATGCAAGTCCAACAACATGTGTGTAACTATACATGAGTCTACACATGCACGTGTACATGTGTGCACGCTTGTGTGTGTGTGCAATTTCTAGTGTGTGCATGTATGCATGCAAGCTCACACGTGTGCAATTTTCTCTATGTGCACACGTGTGCAAGCTCGCCTGTGTGCAGGAATGTGCATGTGCTTCACCAATGTGTGTGTCTGCAAATGTGTTCAGACATCCAAACTCACATGTGTGGATCATGTGCATGTGTGCATAAAAGCTCACCTTTGTGTGTGCATGTGTATGTGTGTGGATTCATGTGTGTGTGAGAGCTCACATTTGTGTGTGTGTGTGTGTATGTGTTTGTGTGTATGCGGTTCTGTGCCTGCACATATATATACAAGTTCCCATGCATGCATCAGTTCATATGTTTGTGTTTATGTGAGTTCATGTGTGCACATATACATGTGTATGTACTTCTGGTGTGGGATCAGCACTGGACTTCAAACCACAAAGTCAGCAGTTCTAAGCCACCAGCCACTGCTCAGTAATTCTATACAGGATCAGTATGAGTAGGAACCAACTTGACAACACTTAACAACAACATATATGCATGCAGTCATGTTTGTGTCTGTGTGTGGGTTCACATGTTAATAGATTCACATGTGTGTGTGTGTTGTGTGGATTCATGTGTGTGCATGCATGTGCCTGTGTAAATGGGGGCAGGTCACAAGAAAATGAGCCACGACAACTGCTTGCCAAGTCTTGTCCTGGGTGCTGCCCTCCTCAGAGTTGAGGCCCAGCATACTGTCCACATTCCTGTCCTACACAGAATCCACCAGGCCAGTTCCATGGTGTGTAGAGTAAGGCTTGTCAGCCACCAAAGGCCACCCACAGGACACATCCCTGAGACCCCAGTATGGCAATCCCATTCCTCCAGAAATAACCCCACACCACACAGAAGGACCCTTTCCATGCTGGGGAGCTGGCAGAGCTGGCTGTGTGCACCGTCTCCCTGTGGGCGGTGAGGTTTCAGGGCTGGGACTCACGGACGTTATGAGCCTCAGAGTAACAGGGCTCTTCTGGGATTCTGTGCACGGGACTCAACGGGCTCATTCTGCAGCCAGCCAGTTGTGGCTCCGACACTTGTGTGCTGCAAGGAGCCTTTCACAAATCATGAGCGACTTGGCTGCGGCTTTTGTTACCGGCTTGAAGAGCCCTAAATATTTAGAGAGAAGAGAAATGGCTGCTACGGTCCTCCTTTAGTGCTTTGGCAGACTCTTGAGGTGTCCAAACTCGTTGAGCCGTGGGGTGACCTAGTCTGAGGACGGGTGGTAATTCTGAGGAACAAGAGGAGCCAGGCACTCGGTCCTTCCACAGCAGATTCATTAATCTCGGCAGCAGGGAAGCCCACGCCACTCCTTGTTCACAGGCACCAGCGGTGCGCTAAATGCTGTGCACAAATGCCTAAGCACCTAGAGGCACCAACCAAGAGGCTGACTGACACAGCTTGCCATGTCAAGGCCAGGATGTGGGTCTCAGCCCTGCTACTGTGTCCTCAGCTTGGCAGGCAGGGCCGTCTCTCAGCTGCCAAAACCCACTGCCCTGAGCTGTCATGAACGATCTGTTCCCCTCCTCAGACAGGGGCTAAACTTGGCCCACAAGTAGGAAACGGGGTGGCTACATCCTGGCTGTGTGGGAAGGAAGGGGTTCCTCCGCCCCTAGGAGATCTCCAGCCTGGGTGACCCAGACCCAGAGAGTAGATACGGGATTCTGACATCCACCACCCTAATGAAAACTGAAGGAAGCAGAAGAAGGTCTCATTGCTGTGGCAGTCTTCCCCCCACCCCCACCCCCACCCCCAGTGCAAACCTCCACAAGCCCAAGTCTGATGCCAAGGCACCCTCCCTAGGTGGGCCTGCAGGTGTAGACCCTAACAAACCCAAGGCAGCTCCCGCCCCCAAGACCCCAATACACCCAAGGCGGTCCTGAATGGGGACCTCAATAGGCCTAAGGTAGCCCCCAAGGTGTCCTAATGCAGCCCACCTAGCATTCAGGGACTGTGGGGCGGTGATCAAGACCGTCTGGACCACTGTCCCTACCAACTCTTTTGAGAACATAAATGTCAAAGGATGACATTGTTCCAACTTTTAAATCCACAAATGAAATAAAGACACGCAACCGCCACTCTTCCCACTCAGACCCCTACATGCCTCCATCCATACACAGTGCAGCCCTCTAGGCTCCATCCCTCACCAACCACTTCCGGGTGAGGCCAGGGATCAGCAGGGAGACAAGAGAAGACTCCCCCTGGAGACCCTGTGTCTCAGCTACTCAAAGACCACAGCTGTGCGATGCTCACCAACATGCACCAGCCCCATGTGGACATCCAGAGAGCCAAGGTGGGGTATGACCCACGAGGTAGGGGGTGCTCTCCACCAGATGGCACCGGGGTCAACCAGCAGCTTTCCAGGCCCCAGTGGCAGAGGCTAGTGTGGTACGCAGTGAGGGCCCGTATTCATTTCTAAGACCCCAAGTGGCCAGATGTGCAGCAGAGCTGGATTCCCTGGGACCTGGTGCTGACAGATCACACCCTGGCTATCCATCTGCAGACCCCAGAACAGGTCAGAGGCTGTCCAACTGGCCAGTTACAGCAAAGAGACCAAGGTGACCTTGAAGACAACAGGCCTGGAGCCCAGGCTTCAAGAATGGGGTCTTCCTGGGTCCAGCACTGGGCCCAGGGAGGGTAAGCCTCCCACCATGCTGGCTCTGCTTCAGGTACTCAGTCCTCTCAGGCAAGGGGGTGGCGGGCAGCAGGGAGAGGTGGTGCTGGAACATCTCCCAGGGACCAGACGCCCTGGACTGGTGGCCAGAAAGTCCATCCAACCAAGGACACGTTCCCACATAGTGGAACTAGATGTCACATTCTCAGACAGATGGCAGGAGCAGCCGCCCCCCAAATCTGCTCCCTGTCACTGCCTGCCTGACCACACCCGACTGGACCAGTCTCCAAGGACACATGTCTGACCACACCTGAGAAGTCGAGTCTCCAGGGACACATGTCTGACCACAGACCCGACAGGACCAGTCTCCAGGGACACATGTCTGACCACAGACCCGACAGGACCAGTCTCCAGGGACACATGTCTGACCATACTGATAGCAGCAACAGGCTCTGCTGTTCAGCCTCAGTCTGATGACCCTCCCTGTCTGTTTGTCCGGGTTACATGCAAACCGCAGGGCAACTCCGCCTCTGCCCGCATTCCCCTTGGCCGCAGCGTCCTATTCATGACCAGAGCCATGGGAGCCTAGATATTGGCTAAAATCTGTGTGGAGATGCCTGTGAGAATATTCTGGAAAAGTAGGTCTCATCCTCAGCCCCAGAAAGGGTAGGTTGGTTGGTTGGTTGGTTATGTGCCATGGAGTCGGTTCCGACTCATAGCGACCCTGTTCAAGGTTTCTAAGGCTGTAAATCTTTACAGAAAGCCTCTTCTTTCTCTCATGGAACTGCTCGTAGTTTCAAACTGCTGACCTTGCAGTTAGCCCGATTAGTAACCACTAGCTACCAGAGAGAGTAGAGAAAGTCCCAAAACGAAGACCCTGTCACTCTGGAGTCATGTTTATCAGTAGCTTGGGGGAGTGAAGGGTGTGGGTGGAGGCGGGGACTGATCCCTAACACTCACAGGTTGTAGGTGGGACAAAGGCCCTCCCATCCTGTGGTTCTGTGGGTGGTCTGGCAGCATGTACTCAACAGCTAAGTAATGCATGACCAAACCCCACGTGTGTCAGGCTAGACCTGTGGCTGACTTTTCAGAAGAAGACTGCCAGGCTTTTCTTACGAGGCATCTCTGGGTGGGCTTGAACCTCCAACCTTCCAGTTGGCAGCTGAGTGCAGACAACCTCATCTTTCTCCCTCAGAGCAGCAGCTAGTGGGTTTGAACTGCTGACCTTGTGATTCAAAGACAATG